GTTTTCTGATCCAGAGAACAGAAAGCAACCCAAACATTAGAAACTAACAGATCAAATTAAACCAGGACCTCATACTGTAGCCAATTTAACTTAATATCTGCAAATCTGAAAGACATTTCTACCTAACCATGCTGTAATTTCTCTATTTACCTTTATCAACCTGACCTCTGATCTCAGTAAACAGGTTCTCTTTCTCAGAGCTCCACCTTCTTCCATAGAAAAACCACTCCTCACTCTCCTGAAACATCAGTTTCTCTCAGCTGAACTCTCTTAACTTATTGTCGACTTGAACTGATCTAACAGTTTATAAATCTGTTGGTCTTTGATAAACCATATTAAACTCAAACTGGTTGAACTGGATAAGGAGGAATGATAGCTCGGCTTGTTCTGCTGTTTACCTTCATTGGGATGGGTTCTGGTCTGAATGATGAGTTTTTCACTCAGGGATGAAAAAATTACATCTAATATATTTACTCCTGATTGTAGGAATATTGGAATAAATCAGATGTAGAAACTAAAGGACATGTTGCTTTAAACTATTTTAATTTTGATCATTAAAATTCAACCCTTCCTCAGTTACTGTTCAGATGTGTGGTAATAATGAGGCTAAAATATTAAAGCATTAATAAACTTATATATACCGGTAGAAGCAATAGGAATGATTGCCCAGGATCAGACAAACACGATATTTGTATAAATTTCCTGGCTTCATAAACAGTGTGGAGTGTTTAAAAAAAAATTGTAAAAAAAAAAAAAAACTCTTACTAGAAATATTTTTCCCCTGGTTATCTGAGCTGATCTAAGGAACATAAAGTGGGACTGATCAGAGCCTCAGTGGGTTAATATAACTTCCTGGTTACTTTTTAATCAAAGCACTACAGATAAATCAGCTGTTAAATCTATTCTGAAACTGGACTAAACGATCTGAAAGCCTCACTGCTTATATTACTCAAATGTTGGCTACCAGGGATAAAATTATATTTTTATTAATTTTTAGATGCTTTTTACTTGGTAGGGAATATTGTCAGTCTGGTAACTCAGACTTTCGATTACAGAAAGTTTATATTCCAGCAGGTGATGAAAGTTAAATTGAACATAATGGTCTGTATGTGCAGGTTTTTTGGTAAACCTTAGTATTAAGATGTCCATCATTCTGAATGTTTCTGATGTTTCTGTCCACTGAGTTGATGTGATCGGTGAATGCCTCAACTTCCAGGGTTTGTTTTTGACCCAGGTGTCATCCATGTATCTGAACCAGTGAGTTGGTTCTTTTCCCTTGTATCTGCTGAGGCTCTGCTCTCCACCTTGTTCATATAGATATTGGCCACAATGGATGAAACTGGGGAGCGTATAGTCAGTTACAGTTGTGGAGACCAAGAGAATAATGACCTGGTGTCTCATTCATACAGCTAGCACACACACCTGCGCCTGAAAAATCACACTGCCACACAATACCATACACTGGCTTCTAACAAAGGTTGTATTTAGTAAAATACAAACCTGGCTTAGAAATATGCTGCCCATCACACCAGCTTTTTTTCCTACTTGCTTTGATTCTATTTCCTATATTTTAATCATGTAAAGTACTTTGCATTGTCTTTGTACTGAATTGTGCTATACAAATACATTTGCCTTGCCTTGCCTTGCCTTGCCTCTGACCCAGCTGAACGGGTAAAGCCATTTTAGAGAGGGGGGTGACTGGTGTCTCAGAGAGACAGATTCCATCATAATTTACTTTCAATTCATTTGAAACTTTTATCATCTGAAACTGCTGTGTTATGCATTCTGGGTCTGAGGAGTCCATAAGTAATATAAAGCCAGCTTTAATTCAGAATCAGTCTGAAGTCAGCACATATGTTAACCTAAATGCTTCCTCCACTCAGGTGATCAATGGGGTGAATCAGATCAATAAATTAATTGAACAAATATTGAGGAATTCACACAAACTGCTGTAAACAATTGGATACCACTGAAGCATTGGATGTGTGAAGGTGCACAATGGAGAATTAAATGCTGGAGACTTTGGAAATGGGAGAATTAGGAAGCAATGCTTTTTCAGAGATTATCAATGTTTCTGGATGATTATCAGCTGATCAGACTCCATAAAGCATCACTCTCAGATCTAACTGCTGAACTGGGTCCAGTATTGGAGCGACTAACCCGCTGGCTCCACCACATCTGTTTATCCATCAGTTCGCCTGTACATCCATGCATTTAATTTCTGTCATGCTTATCCCTGCTGGGGTCTATCATCAGCTGTCAATGGGCAAGAGGAAGGGTCCACCCTGGACAGGTCACCAGTCTATTGCAACACTGAGACAAACAGGTTATACAACATCCATACAAGCCATTTACCTAACAGTAATGTTTTTGGACTGTGGACGCATGCACGGGGAGAACATGAAAACTCCACGCAGAAAGACCGGGAATGGAACCCAGAACCTTCTTGTTGCAAGGCAGCAGTGCTACCCACTCTGTTCATTATAGGTGTTAAACATAAAGAGATCATTGTGCATAAATCTGATGTAACAACATTAAACAGTAGCTGGATGCATGATTCTAATGAAACACAACTAAACATGAATAAATAACCCACGGCCCATATTTAAAAAGATTTATTCATGAATTATAGGTTTAAATGATCAACATGTTTAATGGATCAAAAATGGAGGAGAATTCATGCTGCAGTCAGATTATCAAATATCAAAGATATTAGGAAACATCTAAATATAATAAGTTAATGAAGTCAAAAGATGAAGATTTTTGCCCATTTTATTTCTTATAGATAGATGATCTATTTCTCCAGTTTCCTCTTCAACTTGTTTCTTTCTAATCAGGTATCAGGCAGAGTGCTTTAATAGGTGTAAGGAGTGGCCCACATAGAAACTGGTTCCTCGAGCTCAGCCCCCACCTTCAGGTATACAATCACCTCTGTAGTTCTAATCTGTTCATCTCACTTTATTAAACATGTTGATGCTTGCAGGAAAGGAGCTTCTGCTAAACCCTCAGGATGGTTCCATTTATTTACCTTTTAAAAGGACCAGATTCATGTGGGATCTCACTTTTAAAACATTAAGTGGAATATCTAAGTGTGGCGCCAAGCATCCCATAATGGAGAAGGCTCGAATAAAGTTTGTATCCAAGACTCTGCCTGATGCTCTGCCCAGTTCACATCCACATCTAAGCCACATATAAGAAACATGTCACTGTGTAAACCAGATGATCAGTGTTATTAAATGATTACCATGGCAACCACATCCAAGAGATCAGAAAGCAGAAGGTGGTTTTACTGACATGTTGTTCAGTGAGGTGGAGAGTCAGATAAAATATAGTTGATAGCAGAAAAAAAAAATAATAATTACCTCATTCTGATACATTAACTGATCATAATAACAAGGACATCCAGATAGCATTGTGCTTATAATTAACTGTATAACAGCCCAGATTTATGGATAAATTCACTGAATAGTTTTGCTCTTAAGTCAATTAATATAGATTATATTCAGCATCAATTCCTGCTGGTGAGTAGCCTAGCATCATTCAGACTAATCCTTTAGTTTAATTTGAACTCTACACAGTATCCATCTGGAAAGGATCCTGAGGAAAGTGTTCACCAAAGGGAGGGACTTTCAGTTCAGTTGTTAGTGCTGATTGGGTAGATCACCAGGTGACCCTGCCTCCCATGCGGAGCTTTAAGCCAATCACAGCAGCAGTAGCAGCTGTCATGTGTCACAGTCTGGATTTGTTTCCCAACTAGCTGAGTTAAGGGATAAATCAAATTCTCATCAAATTTATTTGTTGCAAACATCTTCCCATCCCCAAAGCCAATAATCTATTTCCTTTTGCTTTTTCAAAAACAAAAGTAGGTTATTCCAGCTAAATCCAGTCAGCTATCTTTGTTTAGCTTCAGGCTTCAGCCTCTGCTTGTATTGACGTCATAGATGTCTCTGCATTTCAATGGTCCAACACTTTTCTGCATTGAAGATAATTAATCTATTGGCTTATGGTGAGATGTAAACTAATAATCTGGTGAAGCAACATGTCAATCTATAAGCTTTAAATGAGCAGGACTGGTTGTGTTCAGGCTACAGATGAATATATTTAAATATTTCCTGATCTTTCTTTGATTATTTAGGATCATTAATCAACTGACTGCAGCATGAAGCCTCATCTGTTTTTCTCCCATATTATGGGAAAATATTTGTAGCTTTCTTTAATTAATGAATATATTTTTTATTCTATATGTTCCATGAATGGTTTGTTTCTATTGATGTGTTTCTCTTCAACCGTACATTTAGCTGCTCCTTCCTTTTTTTGGCAACAAGGTGCCCTGACCTGCACCTGTTTAACACCTGTGTTGATCAGGGATGGGGGGGTCAGATGGGTCAGAGAGTGATGCTCTATAGAGTCTGATCATCCTGGGTCAGAAAACGTTGATGGTCCCTGAAAATGTGTTTCCTCCTAATTCTCTCATTTCCAAAGTGTCTGCATCACTGGTAACAGCCAGGCTTAGTTTCCTTGATCTTTAAAGGATCCAAACTGCTGAACCAGACCAGAAGTTCATTAATAAAAAACTTCTCTTTAAATGACAGAAGTGCTGGACTCTAAAACTGAGAAATAAATAAATAAATTTAGCCTACTACTATTTTGTAAAACCCCTTTTAGGTAAAAGTATTTTAAATTAGCTATTGTAGAGTAGATGATGTGTTAAATTCATATATTGGTTCCTATTGAATTAATCAATAAAAAAAGATAAATATAAACATCTCTTCCAGATTGTGGATTAAAGAGGAAAATGACAGATAAAGTAATCAAGTTAAAGCAGGAGCTCATAGTGTAGACAGTTTTTTCTAAATATGTGCAGATCTGAAACACATTAATACCTGTAGAAACTGTCATTTCTATCTAAAGTCAATATATTCATACCTTAAAACTGTGAGTTTAAAACCCACGTTGTATTTCCTGTTTGTGCGCATGAACACTTTCGTTTTCTGAGCTCCACCATTTTCACAGAAGCCAGTCGACGCTCAGCCGAAGCCTCGGTTTATCTCAGCTTTCTAACCTTATTGTTGACTTTTAATGATCTAACAGAGTTTCTTTTTTCTGTAGCAATATCTACTTAACTTCAATAAAACTATATTCAAGTCAAACTAGTTGAACTGGATGATGAAGAATGGCGGCTCTGCTTGTTCTGCTGTGTTTCCTCGCCACGTTGGTGTCTGCTACAGTCGGTGAGTTTTTAGTCAGGAATGAAGAATATCTCCTAAATGTTTTCTTTATCTAAGATATAATGATGTAAACCTCTGCTGCTCTGCTGCTTTTCACGGTAAATTTCAATGGTTTTATACTAATAATTGTCTTAGGCTGTGTTCACACTGCAGGCCTTAATGCTCAATTGAGATTTTTTTTGTGTGAAATCCAATTCTTTTGCTTGGTTGATCATGTTTTCAAATAAATGTGTTTTGTATGTGATCTCTTTTCTGAACTGCATTCACAGAATTTTAGTGTCCCTCCTGTGCAGTAGAGGAGCCAATGATGTCATAAGCGAGCGCGTTCTGTCTTTAGGAAGTAAACATGGGTTATAGTGCTGCAGCACATCTAGCGATGGATCCCAACTTCATCCAGGACATTAACAACATGATCTTTTCAAGATGGTCAAAAACAGAGTCTGCTCTCCACATTATTGCCCTGCTCCTGGGATTAAGATGCAGAATAGTGACCTTTGTTGAGCATTAATGACGTTCATCTCAGATGAATGCCACCTGGCTGTTAAGGTCGCATTTGAAAAGATCAGATTTGTATCAGATTCAAGACCACAGAGCCAAGTGGCCTGGATCACATTGGAAAAAAATCAGGTCTGTGTTGTTCAGACATGAAAAGATCAGATCCTGGTTGCATGTGGGCAAAAAAAAAACTGATTTAGGTCCCTCAGGCTGCAACAGAAAATGGATGGAAAAAATCAGTACCACAGTAACACATGTCTTCGTTTCACTCCATATCAGCTCTTTGGCTTTATCATTACCCTAAAGTCAGAATATTTGGGTTTGGGTCTGTCTGACCTCATTAAATTAGTTTGGCCATCATCATTTTATAAATATTTAGGTGTTATGAGAGAGATGGAAAGTAGATGAAGAGATGACAGCCGTGGTCTGGAGATGTACAGAACAGGTGTGCAGGTATTAGGAGGAGATTTAACTGCTGATTGGTGGTGAACTCCTTAATTATTCACATCATGTTGCAGGTTTTAACTCAATCAGTTGTTTTCAAAGGATCAAAGGATTTTTCTTTTTTTAATTATTTTTATTATTTTACTTCTGTATCAGACAAACCTCATCATTCAGAGCTCTTGTTATTTATTTCCCACTGCTTGGCTTTTTCCTGCTCCTTTAATTCTGCTGCTCAGCTCTCAGACTTTGATCTGCAAACCTTTCATTTGTTCTTTGTCTTCAAAGTCATTTCTATGAATAAAAACCTGAATGTTCCTTCAGAGGTGTGGGGAGTTGTAGCTTTATTTGGCATTATCAGGGCAGTAATTATACAGATTTACATTTCATGGCAACGCATGCTCACGTTAGTACAGGTAGACTGCATCAGGTTTAGGATCATTTAGGATCATTTATTGAATTTTAGAAGGTTTGTTCAATCTGACGTGTCACTTAAAGGCCCATGATTAGAAAAGAAAGAGAAATTTACAAAAGAGAATATGAAAGCGTTGTTGCATGAGGTCTGATGATTCCAAAATTTACAGTGAAAAGGAAAGTTGTTGCAATTATCCTATAAATTCACAAACATCAGAGATTAGGGATTTAAAAGATATAGTTAAAAACACAGAGTAACTTAGTGTTTTTTTTAGAGATTGACATAACTTAAGGTTATGTTAGCGATTTAAAAGAGGAGAGATACAAATGAACTAAAGCTCCTGCTGCTAAGATGGAAACCATGTTCTGATCAGTATTAATAAAACAGGTGATGATATGAAAAGTATTGGAACGTATTTGTTGTTCATCAGGAAGTAAACATTTGATAAACTGGATGATTAATCATAAATCAGATCAATTATAGAACTTGACAGGAATAAACTGGAGTTTAAATATATTTACTCAGATATAACACCAGAGAGTTATTGTGATTTATCTGATAAGTCAGATCAGCTGCAGCATCCAGTCAGTAACTGAGATCCAGCAGTGATCACATGAAAAAACACAATTTAAAGTTTTTTTACATGTGGTTTTAGGCTGCTTTAATCATCCTTAACACTAACATTTTATATTTCCTATATATTTACCTTTATCAGCAGAATAAATATTTGATTGGTATACTAGAATGAGGAACATTGCAGCTCTAACTCGATCTGCCCAGAAATACCAAATAAGATTTTTTGTGTAACATTTTCTATCATAGGGGAGATGCAGCAGTGAGAGGCAGAGTAACAGACTATCCTATAGAGGAATGCCTTTGCTTTTAAATTTTCAAGATAATTTCACTGATTTGCCATAAACTATTCTATAACCAGACACAGTTTAAAATGCATAAAATATGTTCAATATGGAAGTTAGGAAAGTGTTCAAAGAGGGAAAAAAGACCAATATGCATAAGGAGCTAAATATTGATATATCTTGTGTATTTATGTGAACAATCCACCATGGGTAAAGGCATTGGTTACAATAGTGAATGAGAGAGGTAGCAGGGTACCGTCATGTTAAGGTGCTGAAAGAAGGCTGCTCAGCTGACGTGTTTGAATAAAGCAGGTCGGTCCGTCTACACACTGAACCTACATTAGAAATACCATAGATTGCCTTTCTGCTTTATAAAGGCTTTCTCTGTTCACGGTTTCTTTCTTCAGTTGAGTTTCCACTACAGGCAGATCTCTCCATTCTCTCAGTCCTTTGCTCTAAAGATCCTTAACTTACATCCCTCAGAGAGCTGCTGTGTGTCGTCATGGTGGAAGTAATAATTTAGTCAAGCCTGGTTAACATTTGGAGGCTGATAGAGGTTCATCTCTGTTCCTGTTCGAGATTGATCTGAATTCCAGTTCATTTTTTCTCCTGTACCTGAAAAACACCTGGACCTGTGACGCACTGACCATCAGGATGTTCTGCAGAACCACAGAACTGCTAATGCCTCAGGCCAAACAGATGAGCAGCTTTATTATAATCAGGCTACCTAATGATGATGATGATGGAGGGACAGATGAGCTAGATGTAGAATAATGATTATAGGAGTTAAAACGGCTCCACATTAAACATTATAAACATGAAGAAATATTAAGAAGTTTGTTATAAATGTCAAAATAGAATTACTGTGCTCCGTTAAGATAATTACAGGTTTCTTTGAATACTGACAGACATGAAAACGCTTTGAAAACTGAAGTTACATTAGTAGTGTAGGTTCATTAACATGTAATTAGTATGTAAATTATTGCATAAATTCAGGTGAGTAGTTCTCAATCCTGCTTCTCAATCACTACTATCCTGCATGTTTTAGATGCATCTTTGCTGCAGCACACTTGATTAATGCATGACCTCAGCAGCCATCAAGAGCTGCAGAAGCCTGTGTTTTTTATAGGTCAGGTGGGCAGCATGAGGAGGAATCTTAAACATGCAGAGCAGAGGTACATGAGGACCAGGATGGAGAATCAATGCTTTAGATTATTAAGCCATATTTTTTAAGGAGTTATAGTAGGACCTTGTTCCAGGGTTTATCTTCATGGCGTTGAATGCTCTATTGTCCAGAGTTCTTTGTTGTTGCATGAAAAAGTGCTCATTTCCAGCTCACATGCAGGAATCTGCAGCAGGAAACCTGCAACTCTTTCTTCCCTTCTGTGAAGCGACTAACCCACTCTGAGCTTGAATTACTCCTGTTAATTGTAACATGAAGAGAACTGACCTGCAGATGGTGGGCTTTAAGTTAGAGGGTATCATGATGAGTTACTGTAGAGGTGATGATGACTTTCTCTCTACTGATTGATGTGAGCTACCAGAGTGAAATTCCAGGTCTGTTTTATAGTGACTGCAGTATGAAGAGAGTTTTATTACTTAGAGTAGTTAATAGAATAATGGGCTGTTATTATAGTTCTAGTCTGTGTCTGGGCTGAAGGGTGATCAGCTATAAAGATGATAGAGAGATACTAAGACAACATTCCTCCTTCTAGAATATTTCAAGCTGAAATTCAAATAGGTTACACTGAAGCCTATAATCAACTAGAACCACAGCAAAGCATATAAAGCCTGTAAACAGAGATTCAATAGATTAAGAGACAATTTTACAATTTATATACAATTGTTTATCTAAACTGTTTCCAGCTAAAGAAACTATTAAAGCTATTTTTACTTAATTGTCATGTGTTTTAGATATTATACATTTATTCTCTTTCTCTGCCTGAAAATGATTATTACTTTTAAAACAGTTATTTTATTTATGAGGTGATCTACAGCGACTCTGAAGCAAAGAGAGTGATTTAAAGAAGGACTTTGTTCTGGATAATATCAGCCATGTATTCAATTCAATTTAGTTTATTTCTATAGAGCCAATTCACAACACATGTCATCTCAAGGCACTTTACAGTTCAACCAGATCATCCACTCAGATTGATTCAAAGTTTTCTATCTAAGGAAAACCAGTTAATTGCATCGACTCATTGACTCAAATACAACCCCTCACACTAAGCATGCTTGTAGCGACAGTGGAGAGGAAAAACTCCCTTTTAACAGGAAGAAACCTCCTGCAGAACCAGGCTCAGTGTGA